TGTGAATAGGTATTTCTGAAGGTTTTCAGATAGGCCATCAACATTTTCCATGATTAATTCTTATTTATTTATTTATTATTTTTTGGTAGTGGTGATTGAACCCAGGGGTGCTTAACCACTGAGCCACATCCCCAGACCTTTTCATTTTATTTATTTATTTTATTCTGAGACAGGGTCTCACTAAGTTACTTAGGGCCTTGCTAAATTTCTGAGTCTGGGCTTTGAACTTGTGATCCTCCTTCCTTAGACTCTCAAGTCAGTGAGATCACAAGCATGTGCGACTGTGCCCAACCCATGGTTAATTCTTGACCAGGAGAAAAGCCAACAAACACAAGCTTGCACAGTTTTACAAGGACATCTGGTTGACTGGAGGACCAAATTGTTGAGTCCGTGATCTCATACTGGCCTCTGTTGTTCCTCTGTTGTACTGGAAGTCTGTAGGAGCTGGTCCTGGCCTTGATATATTTGTTAGGTCCTCTAAAACATCAGTGGAGGCCATTTAGAAAGGCCAGTTGGCCTCCTGTTATTTACCTAATTTGCAAAGGGAGTAAAGAAAAGGATGCTTTTTTTTTTTTTTTTTTTTTTTTTTTTTTTTAAGAAAACTGCCAAGAGATAGGAAAATGGAATACATTTGCTCTGTACTCAAAGGGACCACGGACTTCTAGGCTCTGTGGAGATCCTGTGATCATTTGAATGTTCTACTATCCTAATGTTCAAACCTAACACTTTTCAAATCCCTAATTGTTTTAGAAGCAAAATTCTATTCCAACTACCTGTTTTTTGTCTTTTCGGCAGAGCAAGCCTGTGCTGAGAGACAGTTGTGGGACAGTCCCTGTCTGTCACTGTCTTTGTCTTCCCTAAGGAGTTGATGTATTGCTTGAGAGGCCCCATGGGGACTTCCAGAGCCACAGTGAGTGACTGGCCCCAAAACTTTTACCAAAAATTTCCCGTGCCAGCTTCTCAAGCATTGTAGCAATCCTGTGTAGTCTTCCTCAAAATGCCCTTTGCTTCAGCAACTTAACAACAGTAATTTGTAATATAAGCTGGTGCCCCTGAGACATTGCATCCTCTTCATCTTCTCAACACCTAGTAATGTCCAGAGCAGAGATTTTAAGCTCATCTCTGGAATAGGCTGGCATGGATGATTCTACTGGACGATTCTGCTCACCACCAGGGAAGACAGACAAAGACAGCCTGCTGAAGGTGCCTGGGAGTCACTCCTCAAGCGCCAGTGAGTGCCACCCAAAGGGAGGAGAGGATGGTGGGGGAAATCAGATTGCAGCTCAGAATGCAATTGTTACTGCAAGAGCGGAATAAGAGCAGACCTTGCAGGTTCCGCCAATGCTACTCACAACCCTACTCACACGAAGCACTTGAGTGTCAACGTGAACACAATGTCATCAACTTGTAAGCCCAAACATATAACCACTGTCACGCATGACCTCGCAGGCGCCTCCTTTGGAGCCGTTTTTCCAGGGGCAGAAATAGGTTAATGCTGAGTCAGTCACTAGCTTTCATTTCACCCCACAGGTGTGAACAGGGCCTCTGGGACCCGCTCTGTCACCTACTGGGTGTGTGATCTTGGGAAGGTTATCTAAAAATTCTCTATGTCTTCGATTCCCTGTATGTGAAATGGTGATAATTATATCAGCTCCCCCATAAAGATGTTATGAGGATTAAATGAGGTTAGAAATATATGGAGCTTAGAACATGCTAGAACGTATTCTGTACTGTGCTCATCTAATATTAAAGTCTTTGCTCCAGACACTGTTAGGTTTTGAGAAGTGAAAACAAAGAATAGGCAGTTTGTGCCTCCGTGGGTGTACAATCTATATTGTAAATCGTTGTTTTAATGATTTGTGTAGCTTAGCCCAAGAGTCAGAAAATGCTCAATCAGGGTTTCTGAATGTGATTGGCCTGGGGAAACAAGCAAGTTATACCACCAATTTTAATTAAATGACGGTATATACAAGTGTGTTGTGTATATATACGAGTTCTGGTTCCATAGAAGCATTACCTCTTTTATTTATTAGTTCTGTAGCATGAGTGCTGAGACTGAGTGTGGTCTGGAGGTTGAGGGTAAGGAGGTGGAGGTGCACTCGGGGAAGTCTTCCAAGAGGCTGTATCACTGAGCTTGGTTTTGATCAGTGAGTAGGCGTTAGCCAGTAAGAGAAGAGGGCTAGGAGTGTTCCAGGCAGAAGGAACATTGTGTGCACAGTTAGAGAGGCGTGAAATAGCACAATACATTCAGGGAACTCCAAGTAGGCAAAGTACAAGAGCAGCCCCATCATCAGTGTAACACACAGCCTGTGTTTGTGAAATGAGTATTTGAGATTAGAGGCTGTTAAATCAAACAAAACAAAGGAGACATTGCTTGTATCATTCTGGTCTTTAGCATTAACTAAACAACCAGCCAAGGACAAGCGGCTCTGGAGTTTTAGTGACGCGGTATTGTATAAGCCTGGTATAAGCGCTCTATAGTCAGTCCCGTTGTGTATCCTAGAAGAAGTCAGTCCACTCAATTTGTCTTTTAATTTTTTTTTTCAAAGTAGTAGAGGTGAATTAACAATAAAGTTGATGGAATCATGGTATAGGTGAAGATGTTTTGGAATAGTCATATATTGCTCTAGATCAGAGGTCAGCAAGCTGTGGCTTGAGAACCAAATCTGGTCCATGGCCTGCTTTAGTAATTAAGTTTTACTGGAGCGCAGCCATGCTCATTTGTTTGCATGTTGTCTGTGGCTGCTTCAGCGCTGCCACAGCACAGCAGACTGTACAGCCTGCAAAACCTGAAATATTTCCTACTTGGCCCTTTACACTAAATGTTTGCCAATCCTTACTCTAGATTCAGTTTTCCTAATCTGATAAATCAAAACCAATATTTAAAACAAGGGCTTGGGTTGGTTGAGAACCAGTGTGATAAACAATAGGTTTATTGGATTTTTTTTAAAAAAATTCACTAGTAAGGAGCAAGAAGATTGCAAATATGTTAGCCATAAAGTATGAAATATACACAAAATAAATGAATAAACGTAGATGCTAGGATTACCTTTCAGATTTGACTCTGAGACTCCTGGCTGTCAGATACAAACTAAAAGACAGGAATTGTTCCTCTAGTAGTTACCTATTTCCTTATAACAAATTATCTGAAAATTTAGAGCCTTAAAGCAACTGTCCTTTAGTATGTCTTATGAATTGGTGAGTTAGCTGGGTGGTCCAGCTGATCTTGGTGGACTTGTTCATACAGTGGTCAGCTGGCTTGTTGGCTTGGGTCTGGCTGGTCTAGGGTGACCTCAGCGGGGGACAGTTCATCCCTCCTGCACACACTCTTGTCCTCCAGCAGGCTGGCCTGGGCTTGCTCAGTTAGGAGTGGGAGGTTTCGAGAGAGAAAGTGGAAGCACAGACTTGAGGCTAGCTTGGAAGCAGCACACTGTTACTTCTGTTGCATTCTAGTGGCCAAAGCAAGTCAAAAGGCCAGCCCAGATTCAAGGGGGAGGGAGAATAGACTCCCATTCGTGATGAGAGCAACTGCAAAGTCACATTGCAAGGGGAAGGGAAGCAGGAGGGATGGAATTGAGGCCACGTTTAAAATCACAAACAATCAATCATAAGCTAAAACAGCATGTATCCTGACCACGCATTTTAAAAAGTCATCTCTGTGGTCTCAAGTGGAAAGAAATATTCATCATACATGTCTCTTCAGCCCCACCCACAGATATGAATCATCAGTGTCTTCGACTAAGAGGACCATTATCCTGTAGCTAATGACAGATACAGAGGAGGAGTGGAAAGAAGCCTGAACCAGACCTGTACTCAAATACCACTTGACAGATTTCACTAGGAACCAGACGCAGCAGGTATAACCAATGACCAAACTGAACAGCCTTTGTCGCTAAAGTCTAAACTGACCTATGACATCCCTGCCAATCCTTCCATTCCCCTCCATCTTTGTTATCAGGTGGTGGCAAAACTGGTCCCTGAGGACATTGCTATCTGTTGTTTCTGGATGTGACTGAAAAGGCAAAAAAATGGGATAATTTTTTTTTTTTAACTCACCAGCAATGGGATGATTTTTTAAATTTCTTGCTAAAAAATCTTCACTATTACAAACTTGCCTTGATAAATAATGTTAAATATAAATAGCAACAGTGATGTCAGAAAACCTCCTTCACTGTTCCTTTCCTGGTCCCCTAGGGATGTCAGTAAAAAGACAGCGAACTTGGTAGCCATTGCTTCTTAGACTATCTCAAAATCTTCAGAAAATCTAAAAGCGAAACTCCCAAACCACTCAGACAAAAATCACACAGCTTTGGGTTTGAAAATGTTCTTTCTGGCCCAGAACCAGTCAGGGTCATTGGACTTGTCTGCAAGAAGCCAAAGCCTTTACACTCAGACTTCAACAGAAATGCCACTACCAGAATGCTGGGGAGGAATGTGCCAGAATTTAAGGAACTATTTAGACTCCTGTCCACTGGCATCAGAACCAGCTGTGAAGGGGACTATATTTCAACTTAGATACAGTGAAAAGGAACAGAACTGTTGACATTATTGAAGAGGGTGGAGACAAAAACCCCGGATGTTTGCAGATAACTAATTAATGCACTGGGGGTTGGGTTAGCTTTGGAAGAACAGAGGACACTTCAAATTTTGGTTGTAGAAAATCGGAAGTTAATCTTGGGCAGGTCACAGAAAGGTTAAATAGACACAACTACCTGGTGGAGTACCCTAACAAATGTTGGTTCCCTTTCTCCCTCTGGATCTCCCACCCAATTAGGGATTTCTTAAAAAAACAAGAATCCTGCCAGCCTGCTTCTACTGGAAAAATGTCAAGTAGGATAAGCTGCTGATAGATGATAACAATCAACAAACTTCACGTTCAGCTGGAGGGAGCAGGGCGTGTCCCCTCTCCTGCCCCTCCCTCCCCTCATCATGGCTCAGTAGCAGCACAAAGATATTCCCTCCTTCCTGCGGAGGAAGTGTATGTGTTCTCTCAGACCTACCTTGGCATTCCTTGATGTCTTAGAGAAGCAGATGACCCCGGCTGAGCAAGACAGTCAGCAGAACAGCAGCCCTTGATGCTGCATTTGGAAATTTCCATTCTTTGCTTGCAGCTCTGAAAAAAAAAAAAAAAAAAAATCTAAAGAGCCCAGTAGCTGGGAAATTTCCACGATGGAAAATTTTAACATATTCTTTAGCTCTAAACTATGCAGGTTTATAGACACTTTTTTTTTCTTTTGGTAATTTCCTTCTTTAACAATAATTTATGAACATGGTAACTCTGGCGCTGTGGCAATAAAGAGGGCAAGATGACCTGGAGGGGAATGGGCTCAGTTTGCCCAGTGGGAGTCTACGCTATATAAGCACTTGACCACCCAAACCATAGAAAAGCAGATCCCTGCAAGACCCACTGGTTGGGAACTTATCCAAAATAAGAGATAATTTGCCCTGGAGCCCTACACAGAAATCTGTATAGAGACTGGAGGTGGAAAGTGATGGATACAACTTTGGAGCAGGACATGGTGAGTTGCTGGAGAAAGCAATCTTAGGTAGATCCCTTAGACCACTGCTTCCTAAATCTAATTGTGTATGGGAATCACCTGCGAATCCTGTGAAGATGCAGATTCCAATTCACCAGGTCTAGGGTGGGGCCTGAGTCTGTGTTTCTAACTGGCTTCCTTCCAGGAGACACTGAGGCCTCCCTTCTGAGGACCACAGTGTGTGTGGGCATAGCAAGGCCATAGACAACAGGTCCTCATCAGTATGAGGTCAGTGATGGTGGTAGCAGAGCACTGCCTGAGGGTGCCGGAGGTGAACTCCTTTGGGGTGATTTTCTCAGGTTATGAAGCTGAGGTCTCAGAGCAGAACTGAATGTCTCCTGGAGAGATGCACCGTGCCGTTCTGGATACAGTAGAACTTCTGGAATATGGGAACACATGCCATTATCAGAAGGCTGCCTATTCTAGAAGATTTCATTTGGGGGATTCTAGAAATCAGTGCCTTTCCAAAGAAACCCCTGTATCAAGTTGATGAAGATTCTTGAACCAGTCAGAATCATGTGAAGGGAAAGAGCACCCAGAGAACAAATTACCTTCATTCCAGCCAAAATATTTGTTTTACTATTTTGGGGATAAAATAAAAAGGGAATTGGAGAATTTTTCATTTCCTTAATAGCTATCCCACCTTTGAACTACTACATGAGACAGACAGACAGACAGATATATCAAAGTCTATGGCATCTGTCCTCCAGGATGTTACTTTCACTTGATCTGTAATGTGTCTGTTTTGTATATTTTTAAAGCAACATTTGTCCCATTTTTCATTTTCCATTCAATTGAGTTCTGGATGGGTTATTACTCCTTACTTTTCAAATAAAAGTACACAGAGGAACAGATGGAAGGAAAGGAGGAGGGAGATTACAATCATGAAAATGTGATTGAAGTCAGAGTGTAACAAGCATGGAAAGAATTTGATTACATAATAAAAAGAATTAATATAGATTAAGAGTAAATAAGTATCCTAGTATGCTAACATCCACATGATGTTTAAAAATTCTAAACAGTATACAGGATTGCTTTAGGGGTTTGGGCGTCAAGAGGTTGGTTGATATCTTCTCTTTCAGAAATCTTCACTGTAGGGTCAAGGCATGATTCAGCATTGAAACAGGCATGCTTATTACTTGAGTAAAAGAAATCAGATGATCTTTTCTAGGTCTCCATGAGCAATTATTCACCATTCACCTACAGCCAATCAAATAGAATTTGTTTGATCCACCTAAAGCACATATTTTTAAAAAAATTCTTTTTTGTAATTGTAGAAGAACAGCAAGCCTTCATTTTGTTTATTTTTATATGGTGCTAAACATCAAACCTCACATGTGCTAGGCAAGTGATCTGTCACTGAGCTACAGTACCGGCCCCTGATGCCCCATATTTAAGGAATACTTTTTAAAATAGATTTGAGGTGAATTTCCAAAATGAAAGGGAACATTTTAAAGTGAACAGTTCGCAGGCATTTAATATATTCATGACATTGTGTGACCCACCATTTGTATCTAGTTCTAAAACAACTTCATCACCCCTGAAAGGAAATCCTATATCCCATGAAGAGGTTGCCTCCCAATTCCTTCTCCCCCTATTCTCTGGCAACCACCAACATACTTTCTTCTCTGTGGATGTAACTATTCTGGATAGTTCAGATAAGTGGATTCCTGCAGTATGTGGCTCATCTTCTTAACAATAAACATAATAATTATAATAAAATTTAGCATTGAGTGTTTATAACAGGTGAGGCATGTAATTATTTTTTATGTATATATTTATTTTTTAGTTGTAGTTGGACACAATATCTTTATTTTATTTTTATGTGGTGCTGAGGATTGAACATGCTAGGCGAGCACTCTACCTTTGAGCCACAATCCCAGCCCGAGGTATGTAATTCTTACAACAGACTTATAAACAGGTACCATCATTATTTATATAGAAGAGTGTTATGGTTTAGATATGAGATGTCCCCCCAGAAGCTCCTGTGTAAGACAGTGCAAGGAAGTTCAGATGAGAGCTTTAATCTAGTCATTGGCTTCATCTACACATATAGATTAACTAACTGGATTGTAACTGTACGCTAGAAGAGGTAGGTCATTGGGGACATGCCTTTGGGTTTACATTTTGTCCTTGGTAAGTGGATCTTGCTCTCTGCTTCCTTGTTGCCATGTCTCCAGCTGCTTCCACCCACCATGGCCTTCCACCATGATGGTCTGCCTCATCCTGGGCCCAGAACTGCAGAGTCCACCAGCCATGGACTGAACCTCTGAGACCATGAGCCAAAATAAACTTTCCTCCTCTAAGTTGTTTTTGTCAGGTTTTTTGGTTACAGTGATAAAAAATTGACTAAAACAATGAGAAAATTGGCACTTGGCTAAATGAATTGCCTGAGATCCATAAATTATGGTTTAACAAGGAATAACCTTTGGCCAGACCCACTTACACTAGTGCTTTTTCCAAATGCCACAGCTATATCTCAACTTCATTTCCCTTATCACAGACAGATGGATGGATACTCCTTCTCAAGTTTAACAACTTCATAGAACTTGATTCAAATACTGAATGTGTTGTTACTTGCTTACAGCTGCTATTTCTCTAGCAGTGCAGTAAGTCCAGGCAAACTCTTTTGAAGAGCTCATTAAAACTGCTAAAATAAAGTCTTAGAAGCAGGTGCATTCATTAGTTGAAATGCAGACGATTATGTTAATATCGCATTCAGGTGACAAATTTAAAGGCATCAAAATCATGGAGGATAAAAGGATTTTCAAAGCTAAAGTTAACTTCTTCCTTTGTAGAACTCTTTGTTCTGTTAAGCATGTGACTGACTGCAGCTGTCCAACTTGGGGACCTCCAATGTTATCTCACAAAAATAAAGCTGTTTTGCAATAATTTATTTCCCTTACAAATTCTTGAGCCTCAATTTAGAAAAAGAAAGATAAAGAATTGTCTCCAACCCTGCTGCTAGATCTGGCACCCCATTTACAACTTATTTTCCACCCTGGGTCCAAGGGTGGGGGAAACACATTTAAAAAGATGATTGAAATATGTAGGCAGAATTGGGGACGTAGCTCAGTGGTACAGCCACATGGGTAATATGCTGAGTTTGATTCCCAGCATAAAAAAAATGTCAGGGGGCTGGAGTTGTAGCTCAGTGGTAGAGCACTAGCCTAGCATGTGTGAGGCACTGGGTTCAATCCTCAGCTCCACATAAAAAATAAATAAAATAAGGTATTGGGTCCATCTACAACTTAAAAAAAAAAAAGTTGGACCATGAGCCCTAATTTGGGAAAGATGGCTCATCAACAATTGATGAGCCACATCCTCAGCCCTTTTTAATTTTTTATTTAGACACAGGGTCTCACTGGGTTGATTAGGGCCTCCTTACTAAGTTGTTGAGGCTGGCTTTGAACATGGGCTCCTCCTGCCTCCGCCTCCTGAGCTGCTGATACAAGCATGTGCCACCATGCCTGGCTTGCCCTTTCTTAATCTGAAAGAAATGTTGAGTGTGAAATGTGTATGTGACCACATATATATGTTTGGCATATTATTTACATATTTATTTTGTGGTGGGGTGTTTGGCTGCTGTATCTAAGGGACCCAACCAGGACAGCTGTAGAGGAATAAGTTTATTTGAGGGCTCATGGTTTTAAAGGTCTTAGTCAGCCAGCTAGACAGCCAGCTCCATTCCTTGAGGCTCGAGATGGGGGCGAGGGCAGAACATCTAGGCAGAACAGTGTGGCAGAGGGAAGCAGCTCAAGTGATGATCAGGAAGCTAGAAAGAGGTCTCCCCTTGCCAGATACAAACGACAAACGACACCCCAAATTCTCACCTCCTCCAGCCACACCCCACTTGCCTTCAGTTACCACTCAATTAATCCCATCAGGTGATTAATTTACTGATTGGGTTCAAGCTCTTGTAACCCAATCATTTCTTCTCTGAACCTTCTTGCATTGTCTCATACATGAGCTTTTGGGGGATACCTCACATCCAAACCATAACATGGGGATTGAACCCAGGGGTGGAATTTGCAATCCTCTACCTCAGCCTCCTGAGTAGCTGGGATTATACAGGCATGTACCACCACGTGGGGCCAACATATATGTATTTGAGAGCCTATATGCCAGAATATTATAATAGTTCCACCAGAATAATTTAAATTTTCTTTGTCTATTTTTATATTTTATAAATTTTCTGCAATAAATACAAAATTTAAATTTTTTAAAATTAATTTAAAAAATTTTTAAATCTGTGCCTTTTTAAAAATTTAAAACAATTTTTTTTAACTTTTTAAAAATTATTTTATTTGTTTACTTTTTATGTAGTGCTGAGGATTGAACCCAGGGCCTCGCATGTGCTAGGTGAGTGCTCTACTGCTGAGCCACAACTCCAGCCCCCCAAATTTTTGCTTTCTAAACTTATTAAAAATTACTGTGGAGCACATAGCCCTTCCACATTCAACAGTTTTACTGGTAAGATTAGGTTACCATTTAGTTGTCTAGCACATGGAAGCTGGGCGAGGTGTTTCTGTAATTCCCTTCCTCTTCTCAAACCCAGGATATCTGTGGAAACATT